CCAAAATGAAGGGGAGGCTACTACCCCCATGACCCTCCGCTAAAATCCGCCACTGCCCTAATGTCATGTGACGAATCTAGGGTTTTTTGTTGTTTGAAGTAGCTAACTTTCAGACATGGAGAAAAACTCCAAGTATTTGTATGTTTATGCTTATGTCAAATAATGAGGCTGTGCAAAATATTGCAATGATTGGAGGCTAGAGAAAAAAAAGCCTTTTGACTTCATCCCTCCACCCCCACCCACCCCCATCCCAAATGTCAGGGGTAACAAGTTAATTTAATATATATTGTACTATTCTCAAGTTGACTTATATTCATCAATAAATTTTAAGTTTCATAGTATTTTCTCTCAGTGTTTAAAAAATCTGACCATCTAAAGTTTAAATCCTCCAAAATTTGAGGGGTTACAAATTTTATATGGTCACGCAAAGAGATAATACTATGAAACTTAAAATTTATCGATGAATATAAGTCTTGTTGATAATAGTACGAAAATATTTTATCAACTTGTTGCCCCTCACGTTTGGGGTAAGGGTGGATGAAGTCAAAGGGCTTTTTTGTTCCCAGCCTCTAATCATCGAAATATTTTGCACAGCCTCATTATAAGGCATAAGTATAAACATAAAAATGTTTGGAGTTTGGTCCATGTCTGGAAGTTAGCTGTCTCGAACACTAAAAAATTCTAGCTGTCTTAATTTTTTTTTTTAATTTTAAGTGCCTCAATCATTCCTTACGGGTTTATTGCAGAGTACTCTGCAATAAACCCGTATCTCTGCGGATGAGCATTTATTGGAAGTTCACGCCTCCTTCCTAATTGATGTCGCAAAATTTGCCCAGAGATGGGGTTTGAACCACGGAGCCTTTGTTTCTGAGACAAGTGCGCTATCACTGCACCACGGCTATTTATTATGCCAATATTACATGGGGTAGCACACAAGCTACAAAACTTAAAGAGATTCATACACTATTATATGCACTGTAGTGTTCAAAAACATGCGTGTAGAATTATATATGGGAATAAACGAGGGGAACACACAAAACCCTTAATGAGAGACATGAAAATAATGAGTGTTTATGAAATAAATAATCATCAACACTTTATTTTCATGTATAAATATACAAATAACCTCACTCTAGCTAATTTTATTATAAGTGAATATAAATGAAAAGTATTTCCTAAGAACAAATCAATCGAATTTCTTTTAATTGCCTTAAAAATTAAATAACCTAAGATATGGAGTTATTTTCAAAAAAAGCTAAAAAAAAGGGTATGGTAAAATTATTAAACTCATTTAAGTTTCAAGCAAAAAAGCAAATTTGTAATTCTGATCCAATGAGTTTTTTCTAAAAATTTTTACTTTTTATTCTTTAAAGGAAGAAATTGTACACTTAATTTTTTAGTATTGCTTTTAGGGTTGGGAATACCGGTATTTTGGTCTAATCCCGGTATTCCGGTATTACTACCAGTATTATTATTTTTCCTATAATAATACGAATGAATAAATAATATAATTAAAAAATGGTTTAGCATTTAAAAAAAACTATATCAACTTATTTAGACAATAAAAAAAAGGAAAACAAAATTCAATAAAATGTTAGTTATATATTAATCATAAGAAACAAAAAAAAACATAAATTTTTATGGTTCTACTTTTTCTGCAGTTGGTTGTTGATATACGACCTCAGAAAATATAGATTGTTAAGCGAATTATCTCCCATCCTTGACCAAATTCTGGTGCAGATTAAACCAGCTATCGAAAAAGCTCTCTCTAATTCTATACTGGTTGGTTGAATACTTAGCAAACAATTATATGTTAAAGTTAAGTATTTACCCTTTAGGCCATTTGACACGAGATATGACATTTCTTTTTGTATTGAGCGTGTGAGATTTTTTTTATTTCGATCGATTCCACTCTCAGGTAATTTGGTGCAAATGTTTTTTGATATTGCCATCTCCAACTTTTCTTTTAAAGTCAGAGAAGTTTCATTTCTTTGATCAACTTCATCATCATTGACATTGAATATTATAATTGTTTTTGAATTTGAAATGTCGGCTGAACTAGATATTGTTGTTACAGGTGCAGCTTCATAATGCAAGTTAGACCACACTCAATGAAAGTTAGGCCACACCCTAGAAGTTGTATCTGTAAAACGATAACTTTTGCTATTGCAGCTTTGGTAATGATCGGAAATATTTCACAATCTCTATCGGTTTCATCATCACTTGAATTTTCATTGGAGTCTGCATCGTGTAAATATTGCAAAATACTTGAAATTTCTGTTTGTTCTTCGAGAATACGTACTTATAAAGCTGTTTTCAATTCATAACTTAATGAACATGAATGGCCAGTTATTGATTTCATTATAAATTGAATAGCAGCATCTGCAGATAACAAAGTTGTATTTTGTCGGCAGGTTGCTTCAACTGTAAGCTTAATAGGAAGTAAAACTGAAAGGATATTTGACAAAATTTCAAACTTTGCATCTGAAAAAAAAATTAGTGGTTTTAAATCTATTAGACTTTTTTTGATGCAATTTTTTAATTTAACAAAATGTTCTATCATAGACACCAAACTATTCCATCGAGTTTTTGAGTCTAAAACCTGAGACAATTCTTTCCCGAACTCAACTTTTACATTTTTTGTAGGCCAAGAACGAAATACTTTGACGACTTTTCAAACTTTTTTAATTAATGGTAACGTTTGCTGATGTACCTGAAAAGAAGAATTATCATCATCGTTTTCAGTGGAGATTATGAGTAAACCATTTTCATTTTCATAATCTTCATCAATTAATTCGTCATCATCTGTAGAATTCTGCTCTTTTTCAAATTTGGGTGTAGAAACTGATGTAACGTTGCATCTTCTTCATTATGCAGACTATCTTCATTATTAGGTTTTTTTGTAGAGTACGTCGATAACAGCTAACTGAATTCCATGCGCTTAACATAGCTGCTGATGCACTTTAATTAACCTGCATACCTTTGTCATAACTGCAGCGCTATCAGTTGTAATGCCTACAATATTCTTGATCAAAAGCTAAAAATCACCTAACCTATCAATGACAAGCTCAACACATTTTTTTGATGGAATTATTCCAAAAACATGAATTAATCCAAATTTCTTTTTCAGAGTGGACATTAATATTAATGTAATGCCTAGTTCTTAACGATATCCATTCATCGAAAGTTAGAGAAAATCTGTTTCCATTAGCAATTCTGCTCGATAATTCTTTAATTACTTCGTCTTGTATATTTTTAATGTAATTCAAGATCATTTTGTGAATTGTTTTGTGATCCTTTGGTATGTTAGAAAAGTCTCTGACTGTTAAGCCTTTCCTGATATCATATGATGTGCAGATAATGTTGAATGATAAACCATTACTTATAAAAAAGTTCTTTATAGCTACAGAAGGTTTTGATGTCTGTACTAATTCTGAAGAATCTAAAACAGTGGGGCTACTTACATCTCTATTTTATAAATTGATTTTATGAATTGCTTTTAAATGGGTATGAAGACCGCTTGTAGAACCTCCATGTGTTTTTATTATTCTTTTACACAATTTGAATTTAGCACGCTGTCCTGCTTTTTCTATTACAAAATGAAAATGTGGTGAATTTTTATCATTTGCTTTGGATTGCTCCCCAAAATCTTGAATATTCATATCGGTGTAAAATACAAATTTTCTAAAAGTTCGCCACACGATAATAAAATGTATAATTTATAATGTATAACTTAACTTGCTGTTTGGAATTTTATATAATATTTTAATTAAACTAAAAATAACCAATATCATATACCCACATTTAATTTAAATCTTTGAGTATCTAAATTGGAAATTTTACCTCTTACTATTATCTGCAGTTTATTAGAACGTTTTGACGATATTTTTTGAAGGGGCTCTATGAAAAGATTGAGGTGGTATTGCGTTACCCATATGTTCTTTGAGTCCCAGTCTGTTCTTTAAATTTTCTTAATCATTTATATTTTTTTACGTAAAACTCTTATGTTACTTATTTTGTTAAACAGTAAAATATATACTACTAAAAAAAAAACAATGGGTGGAGTTGAAACCCTAATCTCGTCACGTGTTATTCTTTTTGTTTGGGGCTTTAAACACTCAACAGAAACCGAGCTTAACCTTTTACAGAGTTAGCCCAGCAAACGCTTTTGTAATGGATTTGCAGTGGACCTATATAAGCATTTTGAGCAATTCATCGAAGTTTTTTCATCGGTTACTTAGTGGACAATTAGTAGCGTCTACTAGAAGTGGCTAGCCGATAAGTTCAATTCAATTAAAAGCATTAAATCACAGATCGTGTTCGCGATTGTCTTCATGGTTATCTGTTATCACTGTTATCTCCATTATTTTATTTGCGTTTTCTTCTGACTTCTCCCAAAATTATTTTATTATTTGTTATACACGTGTTTGTCAATAATGTTATTCGATTTATTAATTTTTTTATTAGCTTTGACCCCACGGTCAACCTTTTTTATACAAATAAAAGCTTAAAAAATATAACAAAATGACATACACAAATTAGTTTGTGTATGACATTGTATTTAAATTAAATAACATAAATTTAGAGCAATTTCACCAGCAAAAAAACATTTTTTAAAATCGAGTTAACATCGCTTTTAGTATATTGATTTTAAATTAACTTTACAATCTAAATGTTTGCAGCATAAAATCAATGTACAAAATTTCATCTATTTAAAAGAATTTAGTAAAAATATATCAATACTCCATTTCATCATCATTTATAAATTCCACTTTCATTTTTTAAAAAGTGTTTATTTGACATATATACAGCTTCAAAACATTTTATACTTGACATATAGCTTGAAGTGAATGCGTTTATCACAAAAACCAGGAAATGTTTTCACCTTTCTCGATAAATTTATAATCTTTAACGGTTGTTTTTTAGTTTTGCAAATCGCTATTTATAAAACTTCTAATCAACCATATTTGATTCCATTTTCTAATCATTTGAATATTTGGTTCAATAATAATCTATTACTTATATTAACAGGTTTGAACAGCAAAAAGTTGAACAATATTAAGTACTAAGGTGATATTTTTAAAAATATCATTATTTCCGTAGGGTATCTTTATAACCATAGTGCGAAATTATGGAGTAAGGATTTCTGTTTATTCTTCCGACATTTTAGGCTTTGCATTAGCTTCAATTGTCATTTGGGTGAAATCGGCAAGCAAACATCCCACTTCATCCATCTAAAATACAATAGCACTATTATCATTATACACATCATCATAAGAAATATTGTTCATGATGATGTGAATATATATATATATATATATATATATATATATATATATATATATATATATATATATATATATATATATATATATATATATATATATATATATATATATATATATATATATTATATTAACTATATTTTACGTTCAAAAACAAAAAATATTTTGTTTGGTTTAATACTGATCGAAAAAAATTCGGAACCGGTTGTGGTATATCGAAAACATATTTTAAACTCTTTTAGACTAATTTGATATTTAGAAAGCTTGCGTGTGTTTCCTATTTTTTGTGTTCAAATCAATATGGCTTTGCCATATATGATTTTAAAACACTGGTGTCAAAGATTTGGGATCGCTTGTGTCAAAGATTTGAAAAGACCACTTAAAATTTTATCATTATCAAGAAGATGAACTTTTTAAAAAAATATAAAAATTAATGAATGGGACAAGCAAGGCTTTTTTTTTTTAAAAACTTCACTTTAAAAATTTTTAATTTTTTTTCAATTTAAAAAACATTTGAATTAATTAATTTAATAACATGTCATATTCGATTCATTAAAATATTCTCCATAGATTCTTAAATCAATAAAAATAATTGTTTATGTTTAATTTTGCAGTATAACGAAAATAATGACTCGCTTCTTCCACAGTAAACTAAAAGTCATAAGCAAAGTTAATTACTTTGAGAATGTTAGAAAAACTCGCATAGGAAATATTACTTCCTCTAATAAAAATAAACTACTTGATGAAGATAATAGTACATACATACATACATACATACATACATACATACATACATACATACATACATACATACATACATAAATATACATACATATATATATATATATATTTAAAAAACTTTAACAAAATGAATTCGCATATAAATAAGTGAACTTTTCTAGTTAAAAAACTTTTTTTTATTAATTAGGGTCTCTATTTTGTTAATGTATTGAATCAAAATGAATTCTAAAGTTACTTTAGCGTATAATTTGATTTTTTCATCATCAAGTCATGAGGGGCGAATTCGTCAATTACGGGGCGAATTCGTCAGTACAGCTAAACTAATTTAAAAATTCGTGACTCGGGCGATAGACGAAATTCCTTTCTAGTGGTAAAGGCAACTTACCTAGGAGAAAAAAACTTTGACATAAAACATTTTTGAGGTCACAGTAGGATGATTTCCCTAATCTAGAAGTAAACCTAGAAGTTGCGAGTTCGATTCCCACCGCGTCCCTGGTAGTACTGCGCTCAACTTGTTTTTCTCTCAACTCTATAACTCCGAAACACGAACCTTGATCGTCAAGGTTCGTGTTTCGGAGTTATAGAGTTGAGAGAGGGTTGTAAACACAACTAAAGTAGCCTCCTCGACTGCAGTGGCCTAGGGTAAAAGGACATCAAAAAGGACATCAAAAAGGACATCTAAAAGGACATCAATTGTTAAACTTTTTCCAAGAAAATATCAAATAATGATTTTGGCATAAATGAAAACCGTATAACCGCGCTAGCGCAAAAAATAGCACGTTAAAGCAACAAAAAATCATATCACTACTATGACTATTTAAATAACAAAAATCATATCACTACTATGACTATTTAAAAATTTACAAGATGTTTATATGTTCATTGCACACAATTTGCACATGTATCAACTCCAAAACATCCTTCGCATGCCCACTGATTGCAATTTAAACATTTAAGCCAATCTTCACTTGCTTCTGCCCAAACAGCTGCACAAACACAACAAAAGTCTTTATCAGTGTTATTTTTTAGAATAAAACTTGAAGAACTTGGGTGATCAGAATCAGATGAAAAAAAAGTCTTTTTTGATTTGGTTTTAACTGATTTATCGTGATCCTTTTTTGACTTCTGTTTAACACTGACCACATTTTTTATTGCAGCCTTTTTAGCAGGAGGCTCTTTTATTAACTTAACATTACCTGGTGATGTAATAAGAGCAATGTGGCGTTTTGAATGAGTAGGTTTCCTTTTTTTTTCAGGAGAAGGTATAATAGTCCTTAAAATAGATAAATTTTGGTCTCCCTGGTGAATTGTTGCTTTATTAAAAACCTCTGCTTTTTTATATTCGAAATCTTTTACTGGGTTTCTTAGGGGATGCAAACCACAATGGTAAAACGCATTAACAATCAATCCTCTTTTTGTAAGTATATTTGGCCATATTTTGTTAAAAATAATGTGAAAGTTGCAACGAGGCAAAGAAATATCATCATTTTCAGCTAAGTAATTAGACAAGGCTTCAGACCACATATGTTTAACTACTTTATTAACATGTGTGTCAAGTGGTTGAAGGAGATGTGTACTATGAGGTGGAATGCATATTATTTCAATATCCATCTTTATTGCTAATTCAATCGCTTCAATAGTCACATGACTTTTGTGGCCATCCAAAAATAACAATACTTTTTTCCCATTCACTTTTGTACAAAACTCATTAAAATGATGTAAATAAGCAATAAAAATCTCTTGATCAATCTCTTGATCTGGAATCTTTGTTCCCTTAAATATGAAAAATGGTGGTAAGCTGTCTCCTGCTGCATTAACAGTGGCCAGGTATGTTGTTAGTGTGCCACGTTCACCAATAGTTAACTTTTGAACCTGATGAGAACCCTTTAATGCTATTACCTTAACAGAGACATTTGGCACAGATGAAAGGCCAGTTTCATCACAGTTATAAATCAAATTTGGATAATTTTTTATGTCAAGCTGTTCATAAAAAGGTTGTAAATCGTTAAAAAATGTCTGAACGCGATTCTCATTAAATGCTTCTGCTCTTGCTCGAGAAAGCCCTTCAGGAATTCTTAGTGTCAACTGAGTATGCCTTTTTCGGAATGAGAGAAACCAATCACGTGATGCCAAACATTTATTATGCCAACCTTTTTGGATGGACTTCTGTAATAAATGACGTCTACACAAGCTTTTGGCATAGAAATAACCAGCAGATCTTAACCACATTATTGTGAGAGGAAACCCTCTATCAGCCATATATAGCAGCCTTTGAACAAGAGTTTCTTCTTGATTTTTAAAGAAAATTGTTTTACCACCTATAGAATGTGTTTGATGTTTTCCCCGTAATTTATCAATCAACGTTGTACGTGGAATATTAAATTGTTTTGCTGCAGTTGATATAGTTTCTCCATCTATAATGGTTTGCAGAGCAGCCTGAAAAATTTCTGCATTATAATTTTTTCGTCGCTTTAGTTTATAATTACGTACCATCTATACATTTTAACATGAAAAATAATGTTATTAAAATCTACCATAAGTAATAATACATTCTTAGTTTTTTTTATATTGGTATATATATAAATAAATATATATATATACAATATGTATATACATATATATATATATATATATATATATATATATATATATATATATATATATATATATATATATATATACAAAAAAAAAAAATATATTTATATATATATATATATATATATATATATATATATATATATATATATATATAAGACAACCCTAATCATTTACCTTCTCTACCTTCTTTACCTTCTCCAGACAACCCTAATCATTTACCTTCTCTACTCGACTTATGTCTTGTTTTGGATCCTAGTCAGTGCTCAATTTCTCCACATTCACCCTTAGGTACTTCTGATCACGGTTTGATCTCTCTAAAACTATTATCAAATTCTTCTACTTCATCAGAATCCCCCTATCATCGTACCACATACAACTACCTTAAAGCTGACTGGGACTCTTTCCGTGATTTTCTTCGTAATGGCCCTTGGGTAGAAATCATTCGTCTTCCTGCTGACAAATGTGCTTCTTACATAACTTCGTGGATTCAGGCTGGCATGGAATCTTTTATTCCCTCTCGACGATTCCAGGTCAAGCCTCACTCTTCTCCTTGGTTTTCCTCACATTGCGCTGCAGCAATTTCTAATCGAAACCGTTACTTCCATATCTATCAGCAAAACAATTCTCCAGAAAACAGACATCTGTTCACTATCGCCAGAAACCATTGTAAAAAGGTTTTGTCTGACGCCAAAGCTCGCTATTCCAAGGTCATTAAATCTCGTATCTCATCACAAAAATTAGACTCTCGAGACTTCTGGAGAATCTTTAACAGTATCAATAATAAGGGCAAATCTGTTATTCCTTCTCTCTTGTATGGTTCAGACTTTGTCACCTCACCTAAAGACAAAGCTGAATTGTTTGCTAAGAACTTTTCATCAATATCATCTTTTGATTCCACTAGTTGCGTTTTACCTGACATAGCCGTCAAACAGGTTGATCCCTTGCTTGACATTCGCATCACTTCAGCTTCTGTATCTAAAGTAATTTCCTGCTTAGACTCTTCAACAGCTTGTGGTCCTGACAACATTCCTGTTGTAGTCTTGCAGAGGTGTTCTCCGGAGCTTTCATCCATACTTTCTAAACTATTTAACAAGTGCTTATCAGAGTCTTGTTTTCCATCATGCTGGAAAGCAGCATCTGTTATCCCTATTTTCAAAAATTCCGGAGAACGATCTGATTCATCTAACTACCGTCCCATTAGTCTTCTTCCTGTCATAAGCAAGGTTTTTGAATCTTTAATCAACAAACACTTAATCTCTCATCTTGAATCAAATAACTTACTTTCTGATCATCAATATGGATTTCGGTCTTCTCGTTCTACAGCTGATGTGCTAACAGTAATAACCGATTACCGTGCATTAGATAGAGGTGGAGAGGTTAAGGCTATCGCACTTGACATTTCTAAAGCTTTTGATAAAGTTTGGCATGCTGGTCTTCTCCATAAGCTTTCTTCTTATGGTGTAGCTGGTAACGTCTTTAAGATTATTGAGTCCTTTCTTTCCAATCGTAGTATAAAAGTTGTCCTCGATGGACAACACTCTTCTTCACATCCTGTAACTTCAGGGGTTCCTCAAGGTTCAATCCTTGGCCCTATACTCTTTTTAATTTACATTAACGATCTTCCAGATATTCTCACATCTAAGGTGGCATTATTCGCTGACGACACTACCATTTACTCTTGTCATGATAAGAAGCCTACACTCTCTGATTGCTTGGAGGGGGTATCTGAGCTTGAAAAGGATCTCACTTCTGCTACAGCATGGGGCTCACAGTGGCTGGTGAACTTTAATTCAGATAAAACTCAATTTTATTCGGCCAATCGTTATCGTAATAATTTAGATCTTCCTATATTTATGAATGGTAATGTACTAGATGAGTCATCTACCATTCATCTTCTAGGATTAACTCTTACTTCTGATCTTTCTTTTAAACCGTATATCAAATCCATTGCAAAATTAGCATCTGCTAAGGTTGCATCTCTTTATCGAGCTCGACACTTTCTTACTCCAGATTCTATTCTCTATCTCTATAAATCTCAAATCCGTCCCTGTATGGAATACTGTTGCCACATCTGGGGCGGATCTTCTAATGATGCTCTTTCTCTTTTAGACAAGGTGCAAAAACGAATTGTAAACATAGTTGGACCTGCTCTGGCAGCCAATCTCCAACCTTTGTCACATCGTTGTAATGTTGCTTCTCTTTCTCTTTTCTACAAATACTATAATGGGCACTGCTCTAAAGAGCTAGCGTCCCTTGTGCCATCTACTAAAATTCATTCTCGTGTTACTCGCCATTCAATTAAGTCTCATCCTTTTTCTGTGACTGTTCCTAAGTGCTTCAAAAACTCTTATTCTTCTAGTTTTTTTCCTCGAACATCAGTTCTTTGGAATTCGCTTCCTTCATCTTGCTTTCCTGATTAATATAATTTGCAATCTTTTAAGTCATCAGTCAATCGTTATCTTGCTCTACAGATTTAGTCTTTTCTCTTCCAGTAACTTCCAACTCTTATAGTGGTTGCTTGCAGCCTTGTTGGAAGTGAAGATGTTTAAAAAAAAATATATATATATATATATATATATATATATATATATATATATATATATATATATATATATATATATATACATATATATATAAATGCTTTATATTTTCCAATGAATGATACATTTGTTTATAATAAATACTACAAAAAATACTTATAACAGATATTTTATACTGTACACACATTTTATACTATATACTTACTTTTTACTTTTTACAATATATAATAGTTATACTAAATAGTATAATATTATATATATTTTTTAAAATAGAATAAGATCTTTGCTATATAATATATAATAAAAGTCTTATTTTAATGTAAAATTAGTAAATAATATTAACTATTCTAATAATATTCATTGAATTTCAATAATATTTTAACAATATTTAATACTTATACATATTTTAAATATGTATAAAAATAGGCAGTGGATAGCCTAAAAATATATAACATATATGTTTTATATACTTATTATTTACTGTATATATATTTCAGACTATACATTATAATAAGTTTGTTTACATGTTTCACATCAAAGTCGTGTTTATAATTAAAACTTCAAAAAGTTTTAAAAGCTAACTGTAAATTAATAAATTCTGAAGAGCCTTTCTCTTATAAATGTCTAAAGCTTTGGAGCGCATTTTGATCACAACTTGTTTTTCTTTCAAACAGCGCTCGGTAGTTTAAAAACTTGCATGATGAAACAACCTAATTTATTTTTCGTATTAACTTTTCTTCAACGACGAAGTTGCCCTTCATTTGAGCATGTGCTAACAATCATTACGTGACGATTCCAAAGGCAAAAACATAGTAACTTAAATTATTATTTAAAAACTACTGACATCAATCAATCAAAAAATATATACTTTGTGGTCAAAACATTGCGTATTTTGATAATTTTTTGACGATAGGCATTTAAGCAGAAAAATATATTTTCAACTTCAATGTTTATTTGCAATATTTAAAGAATAATCGGAGGTAAATATATAAAACATTTATTTAGTAATATTCTACAAATATCAGTTGAAAAAGTTTCGAAAAAACCTAGTTAATAGATTTCTTAGTTTTTATGCATTATTATTTTAAAGCTGAGTCGCATAAGTGACGGATTCGCTCCGTGACGAATTCACCTCGCCTTACCCTCTATATATATATATATATATATATATATATATATATATATATATATATATATATATATATATATATATATATATATATATATACATATACGTATACATATATATATATATATATACATATATACATATACACACACATATATGTATATATATATATATATATATATATATATATGTATATATATATGTATATGTATATGTATATGTATATATATATATATAATATATATATATATATATATATATATATATATATATATATATATATTCATATCTATGGAAAAAAGAATGGAGATATCTTATCTGATTGAAGAAAAAATTCTTAGGATGGGAAAAAGGAGGTCAGGAAAGATAGGATATAAGATTGGAAAAAAGAGATGTCTTTATTAAAAAAACTTATTAGTTTCTTTAAATATAAATGTTATCTTTTTATAGCATATGTAAAATCTATGCTTAGCTATTCTACGTAACATAAGAAAACTCTAAAATAAAAACTGTTAATTCAAAATAGGCTGATGTAAAATCAATGAAAATTAACTATTAATAATTTATGAAAAATTTAAAATTGTTAACTTTTGTAATTTAAATCAACTTTTGTAAGATTGACTCAAAAACAGCTCATGCTTTTTCAACTCTTTATAACTTATTAAAAATCTTTCTTTTTAGTGATTTTTATTGTAGTAATTTGATATCTTTTTATTTTTAAAATATTTTACTTTTATGGTCTTTTATTCAAAACAGAAAAAAAAATACAACAGAGAGGAGTTTTAAAACAAGAAAAATGTCTTACACCAACATATAAAATAAAAGAAGAAAAATATCTTACATCATCATTAGTATTTACTTCACGCAGTTTGATACTAATTCTATCCAAATTTTTACGTTCATTATCTTGTCCGGATTTATCAAAGTACTCTTCCAACATAAGAACAATTTCACCAACTTCAGCTTTCATCTTCATTGCATTATAAGATTCGTAGTCTTTATGCTTCAGTGTTCGTAATCTTGACAGAGCAAGGTGCAATGGAGTTTTTCCAAAAGTGTCACAAGCTTTAGCATCAGCACCATATCTTAATAGAAGTGTTATAACTCTAATATGATGTGTGCATGCAGACAAATGGAGAGGAGAGTTACCATTAAAGTCTTTTAAATTTGGATCAGCACCATGTTGTAAAAGCAAGTGAACAATTTCATCTGATCCTCTAGCAGAAGCAAAGTGAAGAGCAGTTCTTTTTTTACTATCGCATGAATTTATAATTAAATCAACGTGAGGACAATTTTCTAAAAACTGTTTAATATTATCAACATAATCTGAGTTAGCCATAATACGTAATCGCCTCTCATCATGATATAAATCGTAAACACTCTGATGTTTAAAACGTAGTCGCTTGTATTTTTTTTTTTGATATTTAAGATATGTATCTTGAGCATGAGGCATTTCTAATATTTCATAACCACATTGATTTGAATTTACAAACACTGAATGTGAAAGATTTGAAAACACAAGACCAGAAGGAGGCTCAACATGGTCATCGTCCATTTTATCTGCATTTTCAGTACTCATTATTATATTACCTTTAAATGTAGCATAATTCTATTATGTTTTATTTCTTTATCATTTTTTAGCAAAAAAAAAAAAAAAAAAAAAAGAAAAAATTATAACAAAATTTAAGTATAAAAAAATTGCAAGAAATCAACAACTCAATACTTTTTTTGAAATAGTACAATTAATTAATCCTAAAGTTAAAAAAGTAATGCCAAAAAAAATATAAAACAATTCTGAAAAATAAAATATTAAAAAATGTTTCAAAAGTATCAAAGAAAAAAAAATGTTATTGCATAAATTACAGTAATATATATGTATATATATATATATATATATATATATATATATATATATATATATATATATATATATATATATATATATATATATATATATACACACATATACATACACTTTAAGTTTTAAAATGCCAACTTTAATCGTTTATTAGGATAAAGAAAAAAATCAAATCTATTATAGGATTACATAAAATGGTATTTCATTCAAAGCTAAATATGCAAACTTATATATATATATATTTATTATATATATATATATATATATATATATATATATATATATATATATATATATATATATATATATATATATATATATATACATATACAATAGAAAATAATAAAATAGCAAATAAAATTTGATAAAATTTAAAGTGGTATCTATTTCAAAACATATACAACTTCTTTATATATAAATAAGTTTGTAAACAAAAAATAAAAATATATAGCAAAATATTGGCAATATTTGTTGTAAAACATTAAACATTTCATAAAAAAACAATAAAAAAAGTTTTTTCAAGAGAACTATAAAACTTGAAAAAATTCACCTAACTGCAAAAATTCACTGAACTGTAAAAATTCACCAAACTGGAAAAATTTTTATAATCATAACTAAACATATAAATTGTGCAATGTTTTAAGCATTAAGTTTCGTACAAGTTTCGTGCAAGTTTCATGCAAGTTTAAACCTTTCGTAAAGTTCATAACAAGCATCATCATAGAGAAATCTAAAAAAATATATATATACATTTTTTTAAAAAAGTTGTACTATGGGCCCCTTAAGAAGGCTTTTGAGGGCCCAGAATTTTTCCAACTTAAATTAGGTGTTTTTTAAAAAATGAATTTATATCTTAATATGATCTATCAGTAACTGAAAATATTTTAAAGTAGAAACAAAAAATTTTTCAAAAAATTAAAAGCTAAAATAAAAATAATAATTTGCTTTAAATGCTAAAATTTTGAAAATCAAACATTTAATTGGTCACAAGTTACTTTTGTCATTTTTTATCATATTTTTGTTTTCTATTATGTCTGAAACAATATAATATCTTATAACTAAAATTTGTGATTTTTTTCTTAATTACGTCTAAACTGATATCAAAATGTTTTACCCAATGATGATGTCTAAACTAATTGATTAAATGCTTAAAGCGGGTGAAAATACTTTTACATCCTTAAGTAGTAATTACAGAATTGTGGAGTATCAGTGACCTTGGTAATTATATATTAGATATTCGAACAATAATATTTAAAAAATCTACATCTTCTATATATTCCTTTTTTTTTATTATATTGTCAAATTTAAAGTCAAACCAACAGCATAAAAACTTGGGTTACTGGTATACTAACGCAACATCACTTGAAAGTAAATTTGAAGAATTGACATTAAAAATTGATAAATATAAACAACATCCTTGGAATCACCGAAACATGGTTTGAAAAAGAATCGCTTTCTTATCTAAATAACTATTCATTATGTAGACGGGATAGAAGTGATGATAGAAGAGTTGGTGGGGTTGCATCTACATTTCTAACAACTTAAACTCAGTTAAAACAATTGATATCTACCTGTGTAATGATTAAGTTAAACAAATATGGGTAGCTTCACAAATCGAAAAAATTAATTAATTGGATGCATTTACAGACCTTAGAACAGAAGTACTGATATAGAGATTAATGAGCCTATTCACTGCAAAAAATAAATTAGATAATCAAAAAACATACTTGTAATGAAGGACTTTAACTTTCTAAAAATATTATGGAAAAATGAAAGTGTATAATAACTTTTAAAAATACAGTTGAGGATTGTTTTTTAAATCAACATGTTGTCACCCCAACTTTTCAAATAGAAGATGGCACATTCACAGGAACTCTTGATTAGTAAGTGACCAGGGTTGATATTAGGATGTATACATTTATACATCCTAATGTATATTTTTTTAATTCAAAATTTGTGTTATACTTAGTATATATATGCAAACATCATTATGATCATCATAATCATCATTACTATCATCATCATCATTATCATCTGATCATCTTCTCTTTCGGCAAATACTACACCATATAAATACTAAAGTTTATATAAATATGAAAGGATATTTATGCCAGCATCTAAATAAATAGCAAACATATATGTTTATATCCATAATATGTATGCATAAAGCACATCTCGAAAGATTTTATTCCGTCTGGACTAAGAGTTTGGAAGCTTTAATTCCTACTCTTCAACTTTAAGTTAAGCCTCATTCTACTTCACATTTTTCACTATCTTGAGCAGTTGCTTTGTTAAACATTAATCATTTTTTTCATCTTTTTTACAAGAACATCTCTCTTAAGAACAAATGTCTTTCTTATTATTCCAAGAAGCCAATGTAAAAAGTTCCTGTCTGATGTTAAGCTCTTAAATTCTCAGTTTACTAAACCTTATATCAGATGTTAGGTTCTAGAGACTTTTGGTTAGTCTTCAACAATGTCTACAGTTTGTGCTTCAGACAAGATTTCCATCATAGTCTTAAAAAAGTCTTTTCCAGAACTCTCTTCAATTTTTGCTAAATTTTTTAAAAAAGTGCTAAATAAGTGGTTCCAATTTTTCAAAACTCTAAAGAACGCTTTGACCTCTCTAACACTTTGACCTCTCTAACACAAGGTTCTATCTATGCTCCTGTATTGTTTCTTATCTACAATAACAATCTTCATGAATTTTACATCTAAAGTGGCTCTATTTACTGACAACTTAAATGTATACTCTTGTCTTGACAAAAAAATCTTTTTAATTGCTAAGAATAAGCAGCCAATTTTTATCTGATCTCTCTTTTGTAACAGCCTTAGGCTTGCAGTGGCTTATGGATTTGAAATCTGGACTTAAAATTACAAATTTTGTTAGATAACAAAACTCATTTATTTACTGTTTCTTATTCAACAAATAGCATCCTTTTACTGTACATGTCCCTTCATGCTATAAAAACTATTATTACTCCAGTTTTTTTCCTTGCCAAGTCTTACCCATCTTCATCTTTTTCTTTTATATACAATCTACAACTTTTTAAGTGTTCAGTTAACTATTTCCTAGTATTTTTACTTATTCTCTATTTTAAAGTAACTCATAACTTAATAGTGGTTGCTTTAATTTTTTTTTGGAAGTAAATTAGAGTTTATTATATTTTCAAATTAGAGTTTATTATATGTTTAAAATATATAAATGTATGTCAGTATTTAATAAATAGTAAGTGTAAGCATAAAACTATAATATATAAAGTATTATAAATTTTTGCTAGCCCTGGTTATAAACCCCTGATAAATCTTATAGTTTTGCTGGAGCCAGGTTTGAAAAAAGTCTCATTTTTAGCCAGGGCCGGGGACACGGTTACTTACTACTCTTGATTGGATTCTTACTAAACAAAATAATCAAGTCTGCAACCTTAAGTAAAACCTGATGCATGAAGACTGTGATAAAATTTACTAATTTACTAATGCCTTGAGTTCTTTTAACAGCTCATAATAATTAAAGTTCCAAAACAAAAAAAACTTGATTTTAATTGTGGAAATTACAAAGATAATTTGACAATGTGAACTGGACTCTGTGATTTTATGAAAAAACAAACCATCAAATTTTTTTATTACTATAATATTGGAATTTAAAAAGTTATTTTGTATTATGTTAGACATCCTTGCATTAACCCATGGTTAATATAGTTTTTACTTCAATTGTGTCAGTGGGTGAAAACAAAAAATTAAAAAATTTTATCAAACCAGAGACAAAGAACGCAAGGAATGAATTTGAGAAAAACTAGTTTCCAGAGCAAAACAATGCCCAAAGCTTCTATATCTATATATATCAACAACATGCAAAATACAAATAACCATACCCAATAAACATCAAGATAAAAATGGTTTTATCTGTGATGATCTTTTTAATATTACTAATATCTTCAATACTCTATTTCAATCGCTTTTTGTCAAAGAGGATACAAATTTAATTAATTTGATGAAAAAAATAAATCCATTTCTAAACCAATGGATGAAGGTAAATATTATTTGATTAAAATGAAATATTGGAACTTTTGAATTATGTAGATAACAATAAATCTATTGGCAGTGACAAGTTTCACCCTATAATTCTTAAATAATGCTTGATGTCACTAGCATATCCAAATTTACAAAAAAAATTCTTAGAAAATAGGAAGCAAAGAGTAGTAATTAACTAAAATGAGTCCAATTGGAAAGATATTTTTAGTGGTATTCCACAAGGTATTAGGTCCACTTCTTTTTGTCATCTATATCAATGGCTTAATAAAAAACCTAACTAACACATCTAAACTATTTGCTAATGAAACTAAAATCATCAATCAAATTTAAAACAACTCTATATCAGCTCTTCTAGATGACCTTATCAAGGTATTTGAATGATCGAATACCTTGATAAAAACGATCGAATACCTTGATTCGAATACTACCACGTCCCTGGTAGTATTCAAATAATCAAATACTACCAGGGACGTGGTGAGGATCAAACTCAGAACCTTTTACATCTGAAGCAGCGCTCTACCACTACACCACATTACTTTACAATTGATTCTGATAATGACATTTTATCAACTTTAAAAAAGTCTATATGTGAAAAAGATCCAAGTAATTTCTTGGCCAATCTTAAGTGGAAACAACACACAATTAGCTCTGCGTCTAAAGCAAATCAAGCATTTGGCATTATAAAGTGTACCTTTAGTTATAAAGATAAACAGATGTTTAAATTTTTTTATACTACACTTGTCCGTCCAAATCTTGAAGACGGTATTACTGTATGAACTCCTTACCTTAAAGGAGATACATCTATATTGGAACAAGTAACAGAGATGAGCAACTAAGCTAATTTCTTCTCCTAAAAATATGACATATAAAGAAAGACTCTTAAGTTTAAACTTAACAAAACTTTTAACTCTCCATTAAAGACTTATTACAAATTTTTAAAATCATCAATAAAATAGTGTAAATGTAACATTACATGAATACAATTTCTTAGAAAATAAATATACAAAAAATTCAGATTCAGACACGTGAACACATTTTTAGATACCAAGCTGAATTTACTAAAAGTGCTTCTTGACAAAATAATCTACGTAATCAAGCAACAACTACATGCAATGAATTATTGGTGGAAGTAAATTCTCATAGCTTGAATCAGTTTAAAAATAAATAAAGCAACTTATTTTTATGAATGACTGTTTCAGTATGTAAATACAATGTATGTTTCAAATATAAAATATAAAAGTCAAGAGTTAGAAGTTAGGAAGTAGAAAGAACACAGTAAAAGAAAGCACTTTTGCTTAATACATAGGTTATCCTAGTCATATTTTAAATATCCGGAAAATTGTTTGGATAAAATATCCGGAAAAAATCCGGAATTTGTTTCCTTTATTTTCTTTTTAATTTCGCTTTTAGCAAAGTTGATGCTAATTTTTTTTAAATACTTTTCATAATTTTTCTATGAGTGATGAGTGAAAAAGCTTAAAAAATAAATATATTACAAAAATATATACCTCAACTTGCATTTATTGAAAATGTTTTGGATATCCGGAAAAATTATAAGTTGAAAAAAATATCCGGAATTCCGGAAATATCCGGAAAAAGATAATCCCAGTTAATAACATAACACAAGATTGTTTTTTGGTAGGTGAAGGGAGAGTTGATAGCTAACATGTATATATGGTTCCCATAAGGGGTGAGTATT